CAGAAAATGAACACGATAGATTAAAGCTTGAAACAACTGCTAAGAACTATATTCAGAAAAGAAACAACCTTTCTAAAACTATAGTGAAACTGATACAAGTTAATATACAGTTAAACTTCTATGACTCCCAAGAATAGGTCCAAAACTTAGAAAAGAACTTCAACATTACAATGTCAGAATAATTTTTACTACACCACCTACGTCAAAAAACATCTTATGCAACAACAAGTCAAAGTTATTTCCAAATAGCAATCCCGGTGTCTACAAACTCACATGCTCTTGTGGAAGTACAGTGGTTGCCAAATTATTAGACTAGGCTACAAAACCGAGACTATTTTCGAATGTACCTACCTTGGCACAAATTAGTTATTTAATTAATGTATATATAGTTACTGCATGTATAGCCCAATGTTGCTTAAGTGATAATAAGTGCAATTTATTTTTATTTTCGCTCAATATCTACTTTATTGAAAATTTTAACTTGGTATCTGTTAGAGGTCAGTATTTTTTTTATTTGCTTGATGTTTATGAGCTGAAATTAAAGGAAAATGTACATTAATAGGAGTTGCTGGACATTACATTAAAGTCGATCTTTTATTAATTTTTATTTTTTACATTAAAAATGAAGAAACATGTTTAATTAATAAAGCATTTTATGTCCTTTTAATAGATGGAAAAGCTGCTGAATTGTCACCGGCACAATTAGCCAGAGTTGAGGTTTATCTACAAGAGACATCACTCACACAAAAGGAGATTACTAAAAATGTTGGAATAAGTCAGAAATCGGTATCGAGAATGAAGAAGAAGATGCAACCTGGTGAAAAATTACGAGGCAACCGTGTTGGCAATTGTGACAGAAAAAAATTAATGTCTGTGCAAGACAACAGATACCTCATAAAATGCTGTATAAGAAACCGTAAAGCAACAAGCAAGATGTTGCAGAAAGAATTACAAAAAATTAATGTACATATGAGTACCAGAACAGTCAGAAGACAATTAGTTGTGAATGGTTTTCGAGCTCGACGGCCACGCAGAAAACCAAAGCTGACTCCGGCAATGATCAAGAAACGTTTGGCATAGGGAAAGCAACACAAAAATTTTACTGAAATGATTGGAGTCAGGTGTGCTTCAGTGATAAATCATCCTTTTACATCATGGATGAGAAAGCAGCCTATGTACGTAGGAAACCCAGTGATAAATTTCATCCTGACTGTGTTGCAGAGACAGTAAAGCACCCAACGTATGTCATGGTCTGGTCAGTTATCTCTGTTCATGGGCCTGGACGACTGTATATTTTTGAAGGCACCATGAATCAAGTTCAATACAAGAAGGTGATGTGGGAGATTGTCAAAAGAAGTGTAGGAGGGATGAAACCAAAAAATAAAATAAAACTGACCGAAAATTTGACCAATGTCTGGCATCATGACGACGAAATCTGTAAGCTTTGCCCGAAACTTATTCATGGGATGCCTTCAAGGGTCTAGGCACTGCTTAAAAATAAGGGAAACCATACAAAATATTAACTGACATGCTTCAACTATTCGAATCATTGCCATTGTAATTTATTTCATTTTCTATTGTTACTTTTTGCATTTTTATTGTAATTTTAATTTAATAAATTTAATTTAATTTTTAATTTTAGTCTTATTAATGCAAATTTTAAGTCATCTTGGCATTTGAATCGAGAGGCTGCATAAGCGCGAGTTGGCAAATGTGCGAACTCGCATAAGTGCGAAGCGAGTATATAAATAATGCCAATTCGCACTTATGCCAGTTTGCACTTATGCCAATGTTTGCAAATTTGTTTGGCGCACTTATGCCAACTTGCACTTGTGCTAGTTTTTGCAACTGCTTCGCATTTTTATTATATATATATATATATATATATATATATATATATATATATATATATATATATATATATATATATACATATATATATATATATATATATATATATATATATATATATATATATATATATATATATATATATATATATATATATATATATATATATATATATATATATATATATATATATATATATATATATATATATATATATATATATATATATATATATATATATATATATAGTGGTGGCCAAATTATTAGACAAAATGCAATTTTCGATGCATTTGTGAAATTTATTTATAAATAGTGCAACATTTTTACTTCAAAACGGTTGTAGGAAAAAATCCCCCCGGAAAAAATCCCCCCGAAATAATCCCCCGAGAAAAAATTCCCCCGGGAAAAAATCCCCCCGAAAAAAATCCCCTAGAGAAAAAATCCCCCGGGAAATATCCCCCCCAAAAAAGAAATTTTTTTTTTACATAAAAATAATCAATATGCAGTTACGTTTATTTCTTTATATATTTTAAATATTTATATAAAATACTTCATTTTTCATCAAAATGTCAAGTTATGCGCTATTCCTCGAAGGTAGCGAACGTGAAACACTTACCCTAACCCTAACCCTGACGAACTGCGAACTGGTAAAATGTAAACTTTTTTGCGAACCATCGTAGTTAATTTAGCGGTATATTTTAAGGACTTTTAAGCGAAAAAACTATTTAAAAAAAATAAAAGGAAAATAAGTGAAACTAGACGAAAACAATATGAAAATATATACATTTTTTATTTATTTGAGAGACTGCCTGCCCATCCCAAACCCTCAGTCGATATAGCAGCACTCCGTTGCGAGTCGGGCTATTTGTCAGTCGATGTAGCAGCACTCCGTTGCGAGTCAGGCTATAAGATAGTCGATGTAGCAATACTCCGCGCATGTTTTACAGTAAAAAAAATAAAAATTTTATTTTAAATAAAGCTTTAAAATAGAATATTAGAAATTAGAGTTTTTTTTCATTATTATTTTTTACCGACAACCGAAAATAGCGCATAACCTTACATTTTGATGAAAAATGAAGTCTTTTTAAGTAAAAAAGTATAAAAATATTTAAGATAAATAAATATAGCTATTTTATTGATGATTTTTATGTAAAAAAAAAATTTTCTTTTTTTGGGCGGATATTTCCTGGGGGGATTTTTTCTCGGGGGGATTTTTTCCCAGGGGGATTTTTTCTCGGGAGGATTTTTTCTCTGGGAATTATTTCAGGGGGATTTTTTCCAGGGAGATTTTTTCCCGGGAGATTTTTTCCTGCTACCCTAATCAGAACGTGACAAATATCGTAATTACAATACCGTGGGTAAAACAGATGGAATTCATCGAACCGCAAACATCAAAGCAATATTAAGTCGTCTGGGTAGTATGCTTTTAACCGACAATAAAAAAAACAAGTTTCACTGAAAAAAAAAACAACAAAATTTGCTGAAATGATCTTTATTAAAACATTAAAACAAAATGAATTATTCTAGGAATATGCTGCAAATTTTTAACCGTTAGTAATTGCAATTACTCATCAAAAGGTTTATTATAACTCGGTAATTAAATAGAACCACTTGATTTTTAAAGCATATGTTAGTTTAAGCTTCTTTTCTTGTTTCAAGTCATAACACGACATTCGATAAAAAAGATAACTAGAACAATTTTTAGAAAATTAAAAAAATTGTTTTCTAAATAATTAAAGTTTAAAGTTTTATTAGCTGTATATCTTAACTCCATTCATTCTTGTAGTACTCCATTCAACTAAAATGAAGTTTATAAAAAAGTTGTTGTTTGCGCTGTTTTTAATGTTTTTTCTTGAATATTATTGGCAAACCTTTATTTTTAAATTATTATAATTTAAAAACGTACCTATTTGCGTCAACGTATAAAGATTAGGCGTTTAAGTACAGTCTTGATGTCGTTTTCTTATTGTTTACGAAGCAAAAGGTAATGAGCATAGTCCCGAAGAATTTCAATGCAGTTGAACTTCCATCTGTTTTATACTTCCATGGTAAAACTGGGTGTTGTTTAATTTAACATTTAAACGAAAATTTTTTTATTTCTTTTTTTCAAAGGTCATGGATATAAAAGATATCTTTTCTACGTCTTATTAAAGACGTACAAACTATTGACGTCTTTTCGAGCTCTTTTTTTAAGACGCCTTTTTAAAAGACGTGTTTTTAAAAGACGTCTTTTCCACGTCTTTATTTAGACTGATGATAAAAAGACATAACAAGTCATAAAAAAGACGTCTTTTGTTCGTCTAAAGATATCTTTGTTCCCACTGGGTAGTGCTTTAGATGTCCCTTGACAAATAAAAAGTTTAAATGTCACGCCATGCTTACTTTAAAAAAGTCGCGTGATTAATTTAATTATAGATGTCGCGCCATAAAAGTGCTTTAATTATGAATGTCAATATTTGAAAGTCACGTGGTCATTTTAAATCTAAATGTCGCGTGTTAAATCTGGCGTCGTGACATGACATGACAAAAATTTTATTTAAGTTTGATTAAATAAAACGAATACTAAAATAAAACATTTATGTTTAAAATTTATATTAAAATACTTTTTTTTATTAATGTAGTTAATAATTAATTTGATGACATGCTATACAATGTGTTGTAACCTTGTTAACAAGCCCGAATATTCATGCCATAATTATAGAAATTAAATCTGGCGCGTTTAATAGGGCTCGACAACATGCGAAGACTAGAAGAGTTGAAAAGAAGAATAAAAAGAATAGAAAAAAAGAAAAGTTAAATAGAAAAAAAAAAACTTAAAAAAAAAAAAAACTAAAAAAAAAGCGAAATAATAACAACTGTATTTTATTTGCTTTAAAATAAAAACCATCATCAAATATAAATAATAAACTTAAAATTATTTTTTTGTCTACACGTGCAATTTTATAGTTTCAAAATGTCAACACTTTTTCCAAAAGTTTGCATTTTTTTAAACGATTTTTTTATATTCTCAAAAAAGCAGCCTACATTGTTCCTATTGAAGGCAATAGCACATCCATATTGATATCCAAATTGTCTTACTGTTTTTCGGGCTAAACTGTGATAAGGTGTAATTGTCATTTTTAATTAGTCAATTAGTTCTTTTTCTTCTCTTTTACAAAATACTTGTGACTGTCAAATTAGAATTCGGAACATATTCAATTTCATTAGTATAACTTTTCTTTTTTTTTTGTAAACTTTAGCAGTTCCACAAACACTTTTACCTACTAAAATTCCATTCACAAATAATATCGTACCTTATCTACCAGTATTCTTTTCTGAGGCCTCATGTCTTATTTCTTCTTGGTGACTTTATTCTGAAAAAAAAAGAAATAAATTTTAAAATAAGTATTTCCACCGGAGACTTGATTCCCCCCCCCCCCCCCCTTACATGATTTGAAAAAATATTTTTTTGTATTTAGTATATTTAGCCGTTTATAAAAAAAGCACACTTGGTTTGTCAATTATTTTAATTAATCATATTACAAATTCTAATTTAATTAATAAATTTTGAGTCAGTGTAACAATATTTTTTGGCATTAAAGCATATATTTGAAGACATTGCAAATTTTCATTAGAAAAACGTGTACTTATGTCCAATATCAACGCGTCAAGTAGAGGAATGTAAATTGATCGCCTGTAATGCTCTTCCATTGAATATGAAGGTACATTTTCACGACATGTCTGTCGTTGTACTATTCTTTTGTAGGTAAAACTACCATTTTTTTCAATTATTGATTTTTCTGCAGCTCCTTAAACATTTTTTAAATTTCCTTAAACATTTCTTCGCAGTTTTATGTTTTAAAACAATTAACAGATCTTTAATGCAATTTTTTTCTTTATGTAAATCTAAACTTTTTTATTGAAACAACTGACTGAGCCCATTTGTTAAGGAAAACACATGTACTGCAAAGCCTAAAGATACAATAAAATCACTTTCTCTAACTGATAATAATAAAATTTTTGCTTTTATTGAAGATGTTCTGTCATTCTATGTAGATATATTGTCCAGCGCATCAATTATTTGTGGAAGCTCAACACTAAACGTCAGCAGAGCATCATGTCTCTCAGCCCATCGTGTTTCACAGAGTGAAAGCAGTTGTGAATTTAGCACTTTTTTAATAATAAAATTTCGTTTGGCAGAAGCATTGAAAAAAGCAACAACTTCGCTAATAACCCCTAAACAATTTCTTATTGCTTGTACGTTGGAACTCTTAGATAAAATTAACTCAGCCTAACTTTTTTTCCAACATGTTTATAACAGATTGACCAATGGCTTTGCTGTGAAGAATAGGTTCATTGTAAATAGTTGCATTACTTTTGGTTTGATGATTTTGATCATGCAAATCAACAAATCCAACAAAATCTTCTCGAACTGATCCATCAGCCATCAAATAGCGTAGTATTGTTGTCATTTGTGACTGATGTGATGTATCAGTTGTTTTGTCAAACATAATAGCATAATAATTTAATTCTCTAACACGATTCACAAGTTGTTCACATATTTCTTCTCCACAACATTCAATTAAAGCATTTTGGGTAGTTTTGCTCATGTATGTTGCAGAAGGTCTAGCTGTTTTCAAATGATTTTCTATATTTAAATTGCCACAGCTTATTCTAAATTTTAGAAACTCTCGAAAATTACCTTCATTTGTCATTACATCAGAATCGTCATCGCCTATGTCTAATAAGCTGCCATCATCTCTGTGGCCTCTAAAAGGAATTTTTTGCCTTCCTAAAAATATAGTTGTTTCCACAATAGTTGTCAATAGTTGACGATTTTTTAAAACCTGTTGAAGCCGTTGATTGTTTATTCTGTTTACAATATCCATTGCTGGTTTATTATAGTTTTTTAAAAAATACCTTCCTACTTCAACAGCTTCCTTGTGATATGTTGCTTTTTCGTGACTTGTTAGATCTCCGTCCTTGCCAAACAGTTTAGCAAACACCTGTAATGGTTGCTTAACTAGCTTCTGAAAAGCAACTTGTTTGTGAGATCCTGCAGTCCGATGGTATGAAAATAAGGCACAATATTTGCAGTATAGTCCCTTTTTTTCTATCTGAATATACTAACCATTCGTATTTTTCCAAATGAGAATAATTAAGATATCGCTTTTCTTGCTTATTTTTCTTAATGTGAACTGAATGCGGCATTTTGTAGTCAGGTGATGGTTTCTATGGCAATTCTATCAGGTTTTTTATAGTTATATCATCAATAGTTGTACCGATAAAGTTTCCAATGTCATTAATAAACCCAGCATTTGAAATCTGACTTAAACATGTTCGGCTAATTTTAGTGGATGCAGAATCAGGTAGAGGCTCACTTAAAATCTGTTTATTTTCTGAAACAGGTATAACTATGCCCAGTGAGATATCATTCCTTTTCTGCCTTTCTCCGTCTATATCTTTGTCTTGTAGTTCTGATTTCTATGTTCAACATGTTGAATAGCAATATTAATAGTAGCAGTAAAACTAGTTGAAAGTATTTCAGCAAAATTTTCTTTCTTCGATGCTGTAAATAATGAATCTAAACTACTCTGCAACCGAAATGGATTAGTTCTCTTCATTGCATCTCGAAAAAATAATAATAACTATGGCAACAATCTATAACTTTTTTTTTTTTTTATTGTAAACTAATTATTATTTTTTAATATTTATATATTAAAATAATTATTTAAAAGAATTTTAGAGAAGCAATCCCTAAAGTTCAGTTTATTATGTTACTTTGAATATATTTGAAGCAAGGGTTACTAATATCAAATTAATAATAAAATACTATATGCGTCATTAAAAGTAAAATAAATTTAAAAAATGTTTTGTAATGTTTTATTTTCAGAAAGAGATATTAATTTAATTTTACTAAATTTTTAATTTAATTAATTACTATTTTTATATAAAATTTTTATATAAAATTTTACTTAATTTAATTAATTACTAAAATAGAAACCATAATAAGTAATTAAATAAAAAAAATTAGAATTTAGAAATTTCTATAAATTCTTTTCGGCTTTTAAACACTCAACGTACTATTTAAAAGTGACTCAATTAGGTTCTACCGCGCAAATTTTAAACCGGACTACTAACCGATATACGACGTCATTTTATAGTTACACTGGTTAAAGTAGTTTATTTAGAATTAAAGAAAAAATTAAAAATTAAAAAGTAATATATATATATATATATATATATATATATATATATATATATATATATATAAGTATAAGTACAAGAGTATGACAGAAAAAGAGTAATATTTAAACGAATATTATATAAAAAAAATTTGTGAGGTTGCTGAAAAATCGCCCCCCCCCCTCCTTACTTGATGATCTGGATCCGCCCCTTGTATATATATATATATATATATATATATATATATATATATATATATATATAAATATATATATATATAAATATATATATATATATATATATATATATATATATATATATATATATATATATATATATATATATACATATATATATATATATATATATATATATATATATATATATATATATATATATATATATATATATATATATATATATATATATATATATATAATATATATATATATATATATATATATATATATATATATATATATATATATATATATATACATATATACATATAGGGGAAAGTGGGGCAACATGGCGAACATTTTGAAAGCCCTGAGTTATTGTAAAACTATCAGTCGTGAAGCAATAATAATTTCTCAGTATGTTTATGTTATTAAAATTTTCATTGCCTGCATGAATTTACAGTTTGCAAATATAATAATTTGAAATAAATAATAAAATAAAAAGTTCATAAATTTGTCATCTGGTCACGTGACCGGGGCAAGATGACTTATTATGCAATTTTTACCTCCAATTTTTTAAAATTTTAAAAACTAACAATAACTCTAACTAAAGTAACAAAAAATAAACACAAATTGCAAAAAACTACTTCTAAAGAAGTTAAACTTGAAAGATACAAATACAGTTTCGCTTTCATCCAATTTTAAGATTTTTTGTTGATTTGTTATATGAAAACCCATCTTGCCTCATTCGCCATGTTGCCCCGCTTTCCCCTATTTAATTTAAATGTTGACATCTTGTATAAGAATATATATGCTAAAAATATAAAAACATCAATTATTACGAGTTATCTCTGAATACTATTATTAATTTATTTGAAATTTTCGCTGGATTATAGTTACCAGCATTATCAGCTATAACATCATAATTAAAAATTACAATTATAACCGTTTTAATAAATTACAAAAATTAAACTTTGACGTCAGCGTAAGAACGGCTTCTTTGACGCAAGAATGCAAAAAATGGAGTCCAAAATTAAGTTTTAACGTATTGTCCGTTATCTAAGTTTATTCCACCATAAATTGGAGAGTATTGATGTTTTTGAATCTCTAATGCTTCACGAACTTTCCCATCAAGTTTGTTATATTCTTCTTTAAGCGTTTTAACTTTATCCCAACTAATTTCTTCTCTACAGTCTTTTTTATGAAGAGCTATAGCCGACTGACTAGTACTTATCTTCCATCAAAAATTTTTGGTGTTGTTGCCCAGTGGGCACAAGTACGTTTTGCAAACGTTTTGTAAACGTTTAATGGTCGCTTTAATGACGTTTGTCTAAAAAACGTTTAGGTTATATATATATATATATATATATATATATATATATATATATATATATATATATATATATATATATATATATATATATATATATATATATATATATATATATATATATATATATATATATATATATATATATATATATATATATATATATATATTATATATATATATATATATATATATATATATATATATATATATATATATATATATATATATATATATATATATATATATATATATATATATATATATATATATATATATATATATATATATATATATATATATATACAGTGTTTCAGTAAAATTTAGAACTGCTTACGTTTTTTTTCAATACTCAACAGAAAAACTTGAATAGAAATTAAACGGATTAAGGATTTTCAATATTTTTTTTTGTTTTATTAAATAAGGTATGTTTTATAATTTAATTTAAAAAAAATCGCAAAAAAATATAAAAAAAAAAAAAATGAAAGAAAACAAGTAGACATAAAAATGTCGAACTGAACTCTAATGCTTCACGAACTTTCCCATCAAGTTTGTTATATTCTTCTTTAAGCGTTTTAACTTTATCCCAACTAATTTCTTCTTTACAGTCTTTTTTATGAAGAGCTATAGCCGACTGACTAGTACTTATCTTCCATCAAACATTTTTGGTGTTGTTGCCCAGTGGGCACAAGTACGTTTTGCAAACGTTTTGTAAACGTTTAATGGTCGCTTTAATGACGTTTGTCTAAGTAAAACGTTCAAAAAACGTTTAGGTTATATATATATATATATATATATATATATATATATATATATATATATATATATATATATATATATACAGTATTTCAGTAAAATTTAGAACTGCTTACGTTTTTTTTCAATACTCAACAGAAAAACTTGAATAGAAATTAAACGGATTAAGATTTTTCAATATTTTTTTTTGTTTTATTAAATAAGGTATATTTTATAATTTAATTTAAAAAAAATCGCAAAAAAATATAAAAAAAAAAAAAATGAAAGAAAACAAGTAGACATAAAAAATAAGGGTTGCAAAAGAAATCAGTTAAATATAGTACATTTCAAAAAAGTTCAAATTTCAATATTTAAAATGACCACCGCGGGCTTTTATACATGAAAGAACTCTACTGGGCATAGACTCAATCAATTTCATGCAGAACTCTTTTGGAATACTTTTCCATGTCTATTCTATGAGCACTTAAAGCAAGCGTGCTTTAAGTGCTCAACCGACGTCAGCTTGGTGCGCATCAATTAGCGGTCCATCCAAGCCCAAAGGTTCTCAATCGGATTCAAATCAGACAATCGGTCGTGCAGGGCATCACTTGGATCTTCTTCTCTGAAAACTAGGCTTTTATGCAGGAGCCCCATCTTGCTGAAAAATCCATTTGCGTCTTCCAAAAAATTCACGGGCTGATGGAATTAAACGCTGTTCCAGAGTTGTTTTGTAGTTATGTTGATTGATCCGACCGGTGTACGTATTGCAGAGACCAATACCTTTATGAGAGATGCAACCCCAGACTCCTGCCGACCCTCCTCCGCTTTGTATTCTTGGTGATACCATGCGCATGTCACTTCTTCCATTTCTTTCTTTTGACATAAACTTGTTCTTTGCTATTTATGACCTCGAAATTGGATTCATCACGGAAAATACACTTTGTCCAATTTTCTACTGACCAACTGGCATGTTCTCGGCACCATTTCAGTCGTCTCAACCGGTCTCGTGCTGTCAAAAGTCGCAATGTACGAAATGATTCCTTTTTCCTTTAAAACCTTTCTTACCTTTTCATAGCTAACACTATGATTTCTGAACGAGCAATTGAAATCCTCGGCTAATTCTCGGAGAGTAATTTTAGGTTCGGCATTAACCTTTCGTATGAAGAAGTTTTTGTCTCGGGTACTAAGCTTTTCTGGTCTTCCAGAGCGCGGCATATCTTTGACACTTTTTCTCAATTTGTAGTTTTTTATCGTTGTTGAGACGCGTTTTCGTAAAACACCCAACTATTTTGCTATTTGTGTGTCAGATTTATCTGTATTTTGTTTTAATGCAACAATCTGCCATCTAGTTGCATCTTCTACTGCTTTTTTACCCATTTTTTTACCAAAAATGTCTGGAAGTACCAACTATCTTAACTTTATTTCTAAATTGAATTTTTTTAAATTTTTTTTTGTAACATATCCTTTATATAGTAGTGAACAAATACACAAAATTTCAAATTCAAAAATTAACAACTTTTTATGATATGTGATTTCAAAGTCATGTGCTAAATTTAATAGATAATTTATATCAGCTTAGAAAATTACCTCTAATTACTTAGTCATATTACTTATATCATGCTAGATTTCCTAATTTACAACAAGCAAATATATATATATATATATATATATATATATATATATATATATATATATATATATATATATATATATATATATATATATATATATATATATATATATATATATATATATATATATATATATATATATATATATATATATATATATTTGCTTGATGTAAATTAGGAAATCTAGCATGACTGTCGTCTACATATCGAAGAAAAGATTTAATATCAATAAAAGGATTTATAGTCTTCGCTGTTTTTAATGCGTTTTCCTCGTGGTGCTATAGAAACGAATTGAATTAAAATCACTAAATTTTCTTGACGCCATGGTACTTAACAATACTAATAATAAATACGATTTTAAAGTTTATAGGAAAGATGCTATAACCAATATTCAGATTAAACCTCATTCAAATCATGACCCGAAAATTTTAAAGTCAATATTTAAAGGTTATATTCATAGAGCTTACAGCATATGTTGCGAGGCATATCTTCAAGAGGAGATTGATTTTTTAATTGATATATTTAGTGAAAATGGTTAGGGGCTATCCATAAAGGACGTCATCCAAATAGGGAGGGAGGGGTTGAGTTAAAAAGGACAAAAAAGGACAAGGGGAGGGGGGGAGGTTGTCAGAAAGGACGTCACTTTATAGATTTTTTATTTTAGTTTAATTAACATGGAAAACTGCGTAAACATGTATTTTTAAGAAGATAATGTATGAGAATATTTTTAATTTTATTTGTCAAAGGTGTAGCAGCAGATTCAAACATCATTGCGAGATGAAATAAATTTTTTTGGAGTTAAAAATGGGGGGGGGGGAGGTTCAGGATTTTATGACGTCCTTTTCAAGGGGGTATAGGGAAAAAGGACAACCGGTGACAAAGGGGGGAGGGGGTTGAAAATTGGCTAAAAAATGGTGACGTCCTTTATGGATGGCCCCTTATAACAAAAGTCAGCATCAAATCATCGCTAACCAGATTAAAATAAAAAGATCTATTAACATGAATGAAATTCCTAATGCAAACAAAATTCAAATACATAACAAGTCCAAATGCACTTTTCTACAATCTCTTTAACTTGGATATTATTATTATCTCCAAAACTTAGAAAAATATTTCGGAAAGCTTGTTACCGCACTGTTTTTAAATGTAATCATAATTTAAGGACTCTACTTACATTAAAAACAAGTTGAGGCTACCGGATAACAGTAAACCTGGAATTTATTTAATTGAATGTAATTGCTCCAAAGTGTATGTAGGTGAAACAAAATTACAAATTAAAACAAGATCTCAACAACACCAAAAATTTTTGGTGGAAGATAAGTACTATCAGTCTTCATAAAAAAGACTGTAGAGAAGAAATTATTTAGGATAAAGTTAAAGCGCTAAAAGAAGAATATAATAAATTTGATAGGAAGGTTCGTGAAGCATTAGAGATTCAAAACGTCAATACTCTCCAATTTATGGTGGAATAAACTTAGATAACGGACAATACATTAAAACTAAATTTTGGACTCCATTTTTTGCATTCTTGCGTCAAAGAAGTCGTTCTAACGCTGACGTCAAAGTTTAATTTTTATAATTTATTAAAACGGTCATAACGGTAATTTTTAATTACAATATTATAGCTGATGATGCTGGTAACTATAACTAATAATCTGATTCCAAAATATCATTTTTTTTTACTTCATTTTGTCGGACAAATGCATTGATTTGGTTTCCTAAAAAATCAATTCTGCATTACTTTTGAGGCAAAGCAAAAATAAAAATTATACCTTGGTATAAGTATAAAAACAGGCAAATAATTTTGTCAATATCTTGGATGGAACACAATTTCAAATTTCCTTGATAATAATGGTCAACTGATGTCTCCTTTTACGGCAAAGACTCAACATTTAAAAAAAAAGAATTGTGATTGGTTCAATTGTATTGCAAGTGGGTGAAATTATTTCGACAATTAATGATTCTTATCAACTTTATAAAATCAATGAACTTCAACCTGATTGTTTAAAAGTTTGTATCATAACAATTGACAGCTATATACCTCGTAAACTTGCTTTTCGTGTTAGAAGTACTAATATGTTTAAATCAATATCTTTAGAGAATCTCCAAATTATGTGACCATTGACAACATTTACTGTAGATGGCACAATGTTTGTTGTGCTTAGGTAAAATACTTTGTCAAATGTCTCATACTTTTTTAGTTACAATAATTATTTTGTATATGAATATGTTTTGTATATTTGTTACTATTTTTACAAAGAATAACTTGTAGTTTATTTTTTTTGTTTATTTAAATATAAGCATATAAATGCATATAGAATATGTAACTTGCTAAAGTGTCATCTAAACAATAGAGTGTCTATTTTGTTTAAATATAAATATATAATTTTTTAATATTAGTAACCTCTCTATTAAATAGAATGAAACAGTTATTTATAAATAGTTTAGAGACTTGTTGTAAACTCACATTAAATGATATCTGTAGTAAATTGGTATATTACTTCAAAGAGTCTTTTCCCGAGGGAACCGCTTTACTTTAACCGTGTTACTGTCCTTTTGAAACAGTCATATAAAAACTGTACTTTTGGAGAAGAGGGTGCAGTAAGTTTGAATTATACCACTTTTTAAAATTTTCAGTAAAACTTCAGTGAATTATTTCACGCAAAAAAAAAATCAAGAAAACCGTTCAATAGTTCCCAGTATTAATTACATACAGTATTTAACTAAGCAGAATATAGGTTATAATTACTTGAAATAATTAAAATGATTTTAAAAATCTTCAGGTGTTTTATACATGTTTGTGTAACCCATCCCATGTATTACACAAAACTAGATATTATTCAAATGGTTAATTTTGTTTTTTAGTAAAGTGTGCTTCAAAAGCAATTCAGAAGCGACGTGAACGTCGTATAAAAATTTCAACAGAGGTAAAAATACAAATAGAATGCTTAATATCTCTGCAATAAATGATAGCTCATTTATTAAAGACAAACAAGTGGTACTTTTAAAACTTTTTACAAAAGGAATGTTTTTTATCATTATTTTATAAATAAAAAGTTATTATTATTACTTAATATGTACAGTAAAAATTTGATAAGGTGTAATTTAGTGTTAATGCAATATTTTGTATGTTAGTTTGCTTTGGTACAATAAGCTCCTAATATCGAACGCATTTGCTGTTTAGTGAGGAACATGCAATGTTTTTTTCTATATTCAGAACACAAAGAGCACCTGCTCCATCCAGAAATTGTAAGCAAATAATTTCTATAATATTGGCGCATTGACTATAATATAGATATACCAATCGCTTTTTGTAAAATGGGTGCAATTAAAGAAATGTATTAAAATCAGTTTGAACACATGCCGGCATATATATAGGTGGTCCCTCTCTCCTCTGTTGGGGAGGTGTTAATCAGAACTTTTTTTTATTTGTGATATGTGACTAAAATACAAATATTTTTTAAAGCTTGTTTATAATATAATTTGTTATATTATGTGTTACACTCACGAACAAAAACTAGTGTGAATCTTCAAAACATGAGCCACCACCCCACTCAAACAGTACTCCCCCAAACCTCCGTTAATAGGGCGATCTCTTAGGCACCCTGCACTTGTTACCCGAAAAACACTGTCCAAAACCCTAGGAAACCCTAAACACATTACAAAGAATTAAACCCCATGCTGAAATTAATTTTAGAAATTTTTATGAGTATGAAGTTTTTGTTATTTTTTGAATAAATTTTTATTTTGCGCACTTTTAACAAAAAGTTATACATATGTGTTACAACTTTTTAAATCATGGACGAATTTGAAAGAACGAACATAATTACCAAAGAAGCAGCATTAGATAGGTTATCGCAAATTGTTCAAAGCTGTATCCCAGGTATAGATATTCCATCTGCCTTATTACAATTTCATAAGAACACTACCAGAAGAGATGTGTTTTTTTTTTATTTTATAATTTTATAATTAAATGTTATAATTACCAAATTTATATAATATATAATTAGTTACTACTACTGGTATTTGTTTATTTAGTATTTTAAGTTTAGCTAATATATTCAAGGTTTATTAGTATAGGCTATAGTATCTTAATTGATACAATAACTAAACAAGTTGTTACCTTAAAAAGTAAACAAGTTAAAGTTGATAGTTATATAGGCCTAAAATATAATTTGTATTACCTAGTTTTAAAAGTAGGCTAGAGTATTACTTTTATCATTAATTTTTTGAAGGTATAAACTTTTTATTGAGTAGCCCCCAACATAGTCACCCGGATGACAAAGTCTTTTGGCGCGAGTTGGGACAACATTAAAAGCAGTGCATAAAATAGCTGTTTTTTAATATTTGCAGCTATCTGTCGGAAAATGATTGCCCGGAAATTCTGCATGAGCTTGATCGGAACTTTAACATTGATGAGTCAGGCTTCGTGTTTTTTCTAATAAAACCAAAATTCTTGGCTGAAAAAGGCTCAAAAAACGTCCCTTACAACACCTCAAAAGATAAGGAAAGAATTACTATTTTAGGTAAGCAAAATATATACAGTACTAAAATTTGCTCTAATGAATCATTGCTAATTAATCATTGCTAATTAATCATTGCAAAATGTTTTCTATCATTTAGTTTTGGTTCATTAGAGTGCCTAGCATGGCATGATAACATTCCTTTGCATTTATTTTTATTCACTTTTCTTTACAGCTAATGTTAGTGCAGAAGGATCATTGCCAACACCACTTGTAATATATTCTAATGTGCGTATTCTAATGAACGTTTATGCATCTTTACCTCATGATGCAGCATGATTGAAGGTGGCAGAAGGTTATAAAACAAAATGCAACTCCTATGTTTCAAAAGTATCTTTCTCTAGTCTTTTTCTCCCAATGTACTCAAAATCAATGACTGAGGTGAAAGTTAAAAATGCTTTCAAGAAAGGCGGATTTAGCCATTTAATACTGATGCTATTGATTACGCAAAGTTTATCTTACAAGAAGAACATGCTGGAGATAAGCACCTTTTTGAGGGTGTTTCAATAAAGGTGGCTTTGTTGAAGCCTCAACCTCAACCAATATTATACTTGAATGAAAGCACTCAGACTAAGCCAAGTAAGAAACTCTTCAAATAGGTTTCACTGAAGCACAAGCAACTGGGTCATACATAAACCTGTAAGTGATAAATACATTTTGAAAACACAATATAGGAATGGGATAAGTTATATACTAAGTTAAACTTTAAATAACTTTTAATAGATATATGCTCTTTAATTAATTTGTGTAATATTTTGTAACATCTATATCCTCTGCTAAAATTAGAATTTAGAATATTCATACAGAATTTTAAAAAGTTGCATTGAATTTGTATTGGATTGTCCCAGATTAGACATGCTTAAAACAAGCAAACGAAGAAACAGATTTGATTTTACGTTTAAACGAAACAGGTGATTTGAGACACAAATCAGCACATCCACAAATCCAAGTTCTCCCAAGATCCAACCCTCTGCAAGTGGAATTAATTGCCATTACTCTTTTTCTGATAATTCATCCTTTGCAACGATTCCGCAAATGGTGAGCGCTTTTTTTCAACAGTTCAAAAGAAGTTTTTGATAAGAAAAAAGTAATATGATAATGTAAAAGAAATTGAATAATTAAATTAATTAAAAATAAAAACAAGAAAAAGAGAGGTAAAGTTTAACGAGGAAACGAAAAAAACTTGAAAAAAAAAGAAAGTAAAAGAAAAAGGTATTTATTGTTGATAGTTAATTTAATTAATTTAATTTTTGCGTTCTATTGTGTTGTAATGTTGTAATTTTTTTTTTTTAGTTTGTGTATATATATTGTATATATTATACAAAATGATACTTATTTTAATACTATTTTATAATGTGATATGTTTTTAATTTTCTTTTTTTCTCTCTTTCTCACACTCTCTTTCATTTCAATATTGTTCTTTCATTATAGACACTTTATACTTTTTGTTGCATTTTTTGTTTTGTGTTTTCTTTTGGTACGTATTTTTTTGTATCTGATGATGAGGTTTTAAAACGGTCATAGCATTATTGCTTGATTTTAATCGTTATTATTATAATTGTATTTGTTATTTTTATTATTATTATTATTATTTTCTATTATATTAATGTTATTGTTATGTAAACTCTACCATTGTTTTTATATGTTGTGTAATTACATACTATTGTCACATATTATTTTAACTGTATTATGAGGTGTATTATTAAGATTATTAGGTGTATTTTATATATATATTTTTTAATTATGTTAATTTATGTTTTGTATTATTTAATAATATTGCTGTTGTTGATTTTATTTTTTGTTTATTTTATTTAGGTGTCGCTCCTTTGACTAGTTTTTAACTATACGAGTAACAACTAACCTGATTTGTAAAATTATAATTAAATTTTTAATTTTAAAATATTTGGTTAAATAAATAAATGAATTAATAATTCAACAACAAAAATGATGTCTCCTTTGCCTATGGTAGCTTTCAAACCTAAGAGGTCCAGCATTAGTCCTGTCATGATCAACCATAGGTGGTTTCCTTCACCCAAAAAAGCTATAGGTTAGTCATGGGCGTTTTTTAACTTTCTTTCACTATTGATTCTATATTATTTCAAACTTAGGGATATGTATGATCATAAAATTGCTTTTTTTTATTGTAATATTCTATACTGTTCTTAGCTGAAGTTACCACTGTTACCCAAGAACTTTAATCAGCATCTGTTATGATGTCGGGTCAATTTGTATCCATTATAGCAGAAGTAAAAGAGAAAAATAAACAGCAATAGCAAATCCTATAGGCATTGTAAATACTCTCAATCTATAGACAAAGACTAATTATGCAAATATGAGCGAAAAATAAATAAAATATATCGAACTAAGTCCAAAAAAGTGGCGAACACTGGGCGTTTTATATTTGATTATGTATTTTTTTAAAGCAAGTAAAATATGATTTTTATTATTCCTTTTTTTTAAATTTTTTTAAGTATGGTGTGACAAACATTTTATTTTTATATTTTCGCATGTCACTAATTTAACAATTTTTATACTTTCGCATGTCCGATTTAACGCGCCACATTTTACAACAGTACAATGTTGTCTCGGGACAAGATGTCCCATGACAAAAAAAAAAATTAAATGCCACGCCATGCTTAATATAAGAAAGTTGAGTGACTAATTTAATTATAAAAGTCACGCCACATCTAATATCTAAAATACGCGAGGCCATTTTAATTCTAAATGTAGAGTTTTAAACCGGACTTTGTGCCATGGCAGTTCAATTTGAAAATTTAGCGAGACATTTTTTACATATAACTATGATAGTCTATATAACTATAAAATAGTAAAACTAAAAGTTTCAGTAGTGCAGTAGTCCGAAATTCCGAGGCTCAAAGATTTAGACGTATAAACAATATTAGTAAAGATGACCGCGTTAACTTTCTCATTAAATGGTTTTCGTCGTGTTATACAACTTAGGGCCGTATTCTCACCTCTCTGTTAAACTTAACGGAGCGTTAGTCAAAAATTTCTTTTTAACTACAGAACTAAAAAAAAAATTAAATATAATTTTTTAAACAAATGTTTAATTATATATAGTAGAACGAATTCTATAGTCTTCAACAAACTTTAATAAAATTTGTCATAACTTTACTTGAATCATTGTAATGAAATTTCAGACAAAAGCTCTGTTAAGCTTAACGGAGATGTATACGGCTGTAAACGGTTTGATCTTCTTGAAGCACAAATTACGATGTTCTTAATGAAAGAATTTGATAAATACATTTTGATAAAAAGACTTTTCAAAAGTGATTAAAACTAACTATTAAACCAAAGATTATATAAAAACTATTAAAAATAAATGTAGAAATTTTCTATTAAAATAATAAATTTTATACGTTTCTGTTTGGATGAAGCATAAGACAGTTTAAGATGAAAATCAAATTTTGCTTAAACTATATTAGTACCGTGATATAGACCTAAATAAGTGTCAAAAAAGAGTCTTTTTTTCAACTGGGTGTTTAACCTAGTTCATCACAAACTTCTTAAGTTTATGAATGAATTCAAACTTTGCAGTAATTTTTTCAATTGCTTGTTTATTTAAATTAATGAAAAATATTTCGGTAAAAATGTTATGTTTGCTAAATTTAAAGTTATGTCTTGCATGTGCAATTCATTTATTGCCGAAGCAAACACTCACATCTAAGGTTAACTTTATGCCCCTTTATACCCTAATCCAGACCTCAATAAAGTTAGAGTAGAACAGGGCAAATAGGGACACAAGAAAAAAATTCTATTAGCGTGTAAACCAATCGTAACTAAATTAGCGCTATTTTTTTTAAATTTTATGACAAAATTAAATTAAAACTATTTTTATTTGGTTGCAAGATAAAGTTTTCATCACTACATAGTTAAATTAAGATAAAAGAAAAGAAAAAAAGAAATTAAAACTTCGGATACTTTTTAGCTGAATTTTTTAAGATAAATGTTAAGTCATTTGTCTTTACGTGCATGACTTTTGTAATACCTGTTATATACAATAACTTTTATCGAGTTAGTATTGTATAAGTATTGCCGATATAAGTATTGTATTGTGTAAATATTGCTGACAACGAGATGTGTAGTTATAATAAGTTCTTTAAGCTTTTCCTCTTTAGACATGCAACCGCTTTTATATATTAATTATGACTATTAAGGAATACTTATGAATTGGATTAGTGTTATCAACTATAAATTCTATTTAATTTGCCTATAAACTTTACAGTTAATTCAGCTTCTACAGTTTAATCAAAATGTGTGGTAAAGCAGTTATTCAAGTCTGGTTGCTTGTACAAGTTTTTACAAATGGTATTTCATATTTATATATATCTAACTTTATTCAATTTTAGTATTATTATACCATCATCATCATCATCATTATCATCATCATCATCATCATCATCATCATCATCATCATCATCATCATCATCATCATTAATATCATCATGACTTTTTATACCCTACATAGGTTCTAAAAAGATTGAAGCGACTTTAGCCTTTTATAACAATGGCTAAACTCACTTCAATCTTTTTATAGTGAACATATAGGCAATAAAAAGTTTAAAATATTCATTGCGAAAAATAAATCGATAAAATGAATAATAAAAGCTTAAATCAAATAAATTTAAGTTAAACAAGTTACATCATGTCAAATATATAGTAAAATATTTAAGTTATTGCAATATATAAACATTTATAAGTTATAGCAGTTATAATATTGTCACGAATAAGGAAGATGTAATTTTTTAACTGATTGTATAATGACGGGCCATGCCTCATAATTAAAAAATTTAACGCCAGTGGGTTTAATTTCTTAAAAAAAATGTTCACAAAATATTTAGGCCAAAGTTGTTTTTATATTTACACATAAATAAATTTGAATTTGAAACGAATTAAATTTTAATATTTATTAAACATTCATATATTTTGTTTCAGGGAAGAAACAAAATATATGAATGCGTGTTTTTTGTAACTTTTGTACTTTAACTAATTTAGCTTTTAATTTTATGAATTAACAGGTAATTTTAACAGAAATTATTTGAACCTCTTATTATATGAAAGAGAGTAAAACTTACCTTTTTAGAATATAAAGATAATTCATTCGCTTTAAACTATAAGTTAAAACATTAAAGTTAAGTGTTGAATGTTACAAACCATAAATTTACATTAGCATTATAACAAAATAAACGTGTGTGTACTAACTCAGCATACGTAGTTAATGATACTTTATGGACAGCTTTATCTATATTGCTAATATATATATTGAAGCAATAAAATCCCCAAGATTTTTTTGTATCTTGACAAACAGAGTTTGCAGTCAAAAAGATCTTGGGGATTTCGCTGTTTGAAAAAAAAAATTTTTAATCCATTTATGTATATTAGGGGTTATCCATCGTACCGCTAAGATTAACTAACGGCAAGAAGTCGGAGAATTTTGTCTCTCTTGCACAGAGATTTTTAGAGTATTATAGCGTCTTATCTTCAATAAAAATCTCCGCGAAAGGGAGCCAATAAATTTCTACTTCTGGTTAGTATTTAAAATTCTGAATGACGTCCTTTATGGACGACCCCTTATGTCTTTAATGCCGTGATGTTTCAGTTTCGAAAGTAAAATTCTATGATTAACAATGTTAAATGTTTTGGAAGAAATCGTTAAATATTACTGTTCTTTATTCACTTATAATATTATATTGGCAAAAACAAAAAAAACATGTTGTGTTGAGCATTATTTCTAAAATTAAAATTGATTTTTGTTTAAAAGTTCATCTGATGCCATGTAATCATAAATTCTTTCATAAATTACCCTTTCAAACGTTTTTCTAGAAAACTATTTTCTAGGTGTTTAATATATAAAGATAATTCAAATCATATAAGCATATTTGCAATTAACTAAAATTGATCCTTAGAAAGTTGACCTTTAAAGTTGCCTTTCAAATGCAAAATACGCATTAACTTTTTTTAAAGTAAGGGTGTGAGTAACTTGAGAAACGAAGCATCTGGGTATTAGTAATTATTTTTGCGATGAATGTTTAAAATATATTGAATTAACTATACATGAATATTGTTGTAATGGCTGTCAATAGAGATTATGTGAATATCATTAATATCAAGTTCGCTGTGGTGTCAA